TATATTTTTTCTGATCATTGTACATAATTATTAATTAATTATAATATAATTCTATTTTATTCGATTATTTTTTTTTTGGTCCAATAATGAAATTTTATCCAAATTCAAATTATCCATATTCAGTATCCAATTGGTATTTCCAAAAAGGGGAGCCCCGAGGTACTGCAATGAATGTACAGAGGGGGAAAAAAAAATTAACACTTGCTATGGTAGCAAAACCAGGAGTAAGAGGCAGACGGCCAACCAGACAACACGACGTTTGACGAGGGGAAGCTGGCTGTCCTGCCAAAAAAGACCCGAGCTAAGGTGGAAGGGTTCTAATTACGAAGCTGGACGGATTCAGAATCAATATATAATATCCTAGTTTCCGGATAATTTTTGTTATTTATATTGAATTTTATAGTAATATATATGTGTTCAATCTTTGTAGTTCCTATTATATTCCCCCTCAAATAAAATATTTTGTTTATAAAGAAATTTTAAGGAGGAAAAATGGGATAGATTAAGTTTAAAATCGATCAATTGAAATTAAAATTATGTATTTAAATCGTTTTTGTTGTTCCATAATTGTGAATATTGTAGTAAAAAATTTCTTGAAAGGTTAATTTTTGAAATCCGATGGAAATCCGATGGTTATATTTATTTGTGTTCGGTAAATCTTATAATCTGGGTCCCGGAAAATGAACCAAAAATTTATAATAACATTTCCAGAAAATATTTAATAAAGAATTATTATAGTTCAATAAAAATTATATAAATATTTTTAAATCCATTATCCATATTTAGTAAAGAAATTAAATAAATATTTTAATTTTATAAAATATTTCGACAATATATTTAATATTTATATTTTAATTAAACCAAAGACCCATATTTAATAATAAAATTAGATCATATATATTCATCCATTTAATAAAATTTAAATTAAAACAAACCAATTTTTTTTCAATATAAAATAATTATACCTTTAATTCATATAATATATTTTATAATAAACCATTATTAATTATTAATTATTAACCATTATTTTTTTTCAGGAAATTTGTCCAGATAAAAATAAAATATTATAATATAAATTTATAATTATAAATAATTTAATTTATATAATTACCCCTCCAAAATATATAAACAAATATTTCAT